GCATATGACCATAAGATGTAAATAACTTGTAATTAATTATCAGTGAAAAATGCCGTTTGTATGGCATCACTGCATACAGTTCTCATAGAATTAACTAATCAATCAAAGTCTATACATTCCAAATTATTCACTGAAACATTTCTTATAAGCAATAGATAATTTCTGAAAATTTACACCGACTATCTGTAGAAACCGAAAAATCAATCATGAAATGCCTATTTGTTTTCTAAATCTTTAAAAGTTTTAAAACAATTGGTTCTTATATTGATAAAGTAATAAGAAGACGTAATTTGTCTGAATCGTGTAATGTATTTGCGCACAACACATTTCGAACAATCTGATCACACATGTACTTGTCATAGGAATATATACATGAAATTAATAAAGAGGTGAGAAAATAGACTTAGGTCAGGTTAAAAGGACATATTGAAGGTGAAAATAACAATGAAGACCACTAAACCGAATAGCAGAGGTAATAGGACATCTGCTATGGTAAACAAACCAACAGAATGTTCCAATGTCGTCGAAAAGAATATGTTCCAAAATGGCTACTAAATCATATCGAAAATCCCAATGCGAGTAATCTGAATAGAAATCCAGCATCATCCATTGCAAAACACTTATGAATGTCAGGTCACAAAATCAATATTAATGACTGTTTCACAATTATTTACATAACTCTAATTCAAGGTTATTGAAGATGGTGGAAACACTTTGGTTTAATCAAATACAGCCTAAACTGTGTGTACAAAAAACAATAGACTTCAACCTTCGCCTACCCTGGACTACTTGACCTATCTAAATATGATTGGTCATTAGTATGTACTTTTGTGTTTTTATTTAACTGAGTAATTGTCATGATCTTTATTTTATTATTGTTAACCATGTTAGTTGTTAAGCGGTTGTAAAGAAATTACGAAATGATATCACTCGCGAAATTCATCTTCTAAATGCCTTATTCAAATTTATCAAAGGGACTAATTGTTTTAATTACCAAGGAAGGTTTAGTGTGATGACGAATTGTTTTTGAATGCATAAAGGTGGTTTAAACTTTCTTGGTAAATTTTGCTTTGATGCCAGCCACGGTAGATGTACTATTACCTCTGCTATTTGGTTTAGTGGTCTTCATTGTTATTTTCACCTTCAATATGTCCTTTTAACCTGACCTAAGTCTATTTTCTCACCTCTTAACTCTTTATTAATTTCATGTATATATTCCTATGACAAGTACATGTGTGATCAGATTGTTCGAAATGTGTTGTGTGCAAATACATTACACGATTCAGACAAATTACGTCTTCTTATTGCTTTAAAAGTTTCTCAGAAAAATTCTAGGTTTCATATTTTTACTTATTTTACATTATTCCTTTGCCTACCGAGTGGAACATAAGGCTCCATGCTTGAGCTTTGGAGTTTCAGTATTAGTGGTTTTATTTTTACGGGATGTGGCTGGTAACCACCTCACACCCAACCTTCCCTCTTTACCGGGTTTACTTCCGGCTAGGGACCGAACTCCAGACCAAATGTGTGACTAGCGAGCATTCTACCGCCACACCACCGATAATAAAATGGGAATTGTTATAATGCGCTAAGTTAGTACCTAAATCTATTTCTTTTTTTAAATGGTATCAAGCAGGTCACACATTATGATCTGAATAATTTCAGTTTCCCTTTTAAGGGAACTCAAGTGAAATTACCACCTGGAAGTAAGTAAACTGCAAGTGACGAATCAGTTAGCAAACTGAGAATTCGACTTACATAAGAAGCCAGAAATCCCGTGAAAATCTTACAAGTTAATTAATTTATTAAGAATATTTTATATAGTTTGGTTTGTAAGGGTTAGTTATGTTTTTACGAGTTGATCACGGATTGATATCAGTTAGAGAACCATTGAAAACCAGGGAGTACCGGACAGTCGTTTCATCCTAGTTTAGGAATCATCGGCAGTACGCACCCAACCATTGGTTGGCGTCGCGCTAAATGACGAATTGGTAGAAGTTAGAATTCATGAGCCATTGAATCGGGTCCCAGTAGTTGGATGGTATACGAGTCAGCCTATTTTGTAACCGGAAGGTCCTGGGTTCGAACCCCAGTGGGTGCGTACTGATGACGATTCCCAAACTAGGATGAAACAGCAGCTGTCCAGTACTCCCTGGTTTTCAATGGTATCAATCCGTGATCAACTCGTAAAAAGAATATTTTAGAAAAAGTTACACGATTTTATATATATATATATATATAGGTTGTGGACTTTGCAATTTCGAGTTCTATGAATGCCCAAAAGTCTCCCTTCTCACCTTTAATCACTACATATAATAATATTCCCTTGGATTCCGAAATGAACACTGGTCCACAATGGCATATCTCCATTTCATCCTGTTCTCTGCAGTTTTCCTTAGATGACATGATTACCCATAAGCTCTCACCTCCTCCATCCTAGTACGACCAACTCATCCTTTCTCATTGGGGTTCCATTCGACCTCCTGGTGCGTGATGTTACTGAATAGTCCCAACAGTGTCTGCCCAGTTTTCTTAAGTAAATTTATTGGATGTTGGGTGTTCGGTTGGTTTACTGCTTGCCAGAGTTCCTGGTTGCCTATCCTTTCCAGTCGGTTATCTGGTCTTCAGTATGGAACGAGGACAACTGTTAATGAAAGTCTCCAACCTGTTGGAAATCCTTTCCGTGACGCACGCGCCAAATCTCTGAACCGTATAGAAGCATTGAGTGACTTGACAGTAGTGCTGAAAATCCGAGTTCAGCAGATTTCCAAACTAATTTTTAGATTAATGAAGACCTGTATTGCTTTTCCTATCCTGGACAGCTTTGACACCCTCATCCATACCGTCTTTAGCTGAAACAGTTCTGCGTAGGTAAGTGAAAAAAGCCACCAACTTCAGATTTCTTCTGTTGACAATAATTGGTGTTTGCAGTTGTTGGTTGGGTTAGGTATCGTCATCACCTCTGTGTTCACTTGAAATCTTGCCTTCCCTGCCAACTTGTTGGTTTTCGCCTGTAGGTCTTTGAGTTTGTGAGACAGCAACACCCTCGAAGTCCAAATTTTCTGGAGTTTTCTCCTCACTCGAACGTGTGCTTGTATTCTCGCTCCTCATGGTCTGCCGGACGATCCAGTCCACCACAATGAGGAATATCATAGGTGACAGTAGGCAGCCTTATCTTACTCCTGTCTTCACTGAGCTTTCCACTGTAAATCACTTGATTTGTGGCATAATCATATAGTTGTTGAATAAGGTTTATAAATGTTTGCGGCAATTCACTCTGTATTGCTGAAGTAGTTTCCAAATTACTTCGTGGTCAACGTTGTTGAAAGCTTTTTCGAAGTCAGTGAAGTTGAGGTAAATAAGTGACTACACTATTCTATGCTCTGTTCGATAATGATACGTAGCGTTGCAATTTGGTTTACACATGATTTGCTTTTCCTGAATCCATCTTGTTTCGGGCGAAGTTGACCTTCCAGAACATCTTTTATTCCCTATCCAGGAAGATGAGACTTGCCTGGAGTTGACAGGAGCATGATTCCACACTAATCCTTGCAAAGACATATAATTTATTATTATTATTGTTTCCTTTAATTCCTAGAGGAACATAGGGCCTCAGCCGTGCATCTCCATTGCGTTCGGTTCTCTGCTAGAGTCTTCACCTGGCTCCATGTCTGCCCACACGTCTTCATCTCCTCTTCACATGACCTCCTCCAAGTCACCCTTGCACTGGCGACCAACTCGCCGCTTCCCTTTCGGGTTCCACTCGAGCAATGGCTTGTCTAGTGATGTCACTTGATGGTTTGTTTCCTCAGAGTATGGCCAGCCAGTCCATCTCCATTTCTTCCTGCCTATTTGTTTCACAATCGGTTCTTGCTGAGTTGGTTCGCTCCCAGAGATCTCTGTTGCTGATCTTTTCTGGCCGGTCATCTGATCTTGAGTATTGAGCGAAGACAACTGTTAATGAAGGTCTGTAGTTTGTTTGAGATGCTCTTTATGACGCGCGGTGCAAGTCTCTGATCCGTATAGTGAGTAGCACTGACTTCACATTGGAGTTGAAAATCCGGATCTTATTTTCCATGCTGAGTAGTGGTGTTGACCTCCACACAGACTTGAGAGTAGTGAAAGCTTGTCTTGCTTTTCCGATTCTTGCTTTGATATCCTCGTCAGTTCTGTTCACCTGTAGTTGAAACGATGCTTCCCAGGTAGGTGTGTGAAGGAAGTTGTTTCTTTCAGGTTCCTCCCATTTATGCTGATCGTTGTCTGTTGTTGTTGTTGTTCTTGTCTAGGAATCTTCATCAGCTCTGTTTTCTCTATGTTCACCTGAAGTCCTATCTTCTCTGGATGCATCTTCTGCTAACTTGTTGCTTTTTGCTTGTATATCTTCCAGTTTGTGGGAAATCAGACATATATCATCGACGAAGTCCAGATCCTCCAAGTTTTTTGTGTGAGTCCATTTTATGCCTGTTTCCTCATTGCCCGCTGCTTGTCGCATTATCCATTCTACTGCAATCAGGAAAATCATTGGCGACAGTAGGTAGCCAGCTTGTCTTACTCCTGTCCTCACTTCGAAGGATTCCGTAAGTTTCCCGTTGTGGATTATTTGGCATGCAGCATTGTCGTATAACTATTGGAAGAGATGTATAATTGTCGGTGGCACCCCGTAGTATCGAAGTAAGTTTCCAAAGCACCTCTCGATCGACGCTGTCTACTGAAGGCCTTTTCAAAGTCGATGAAGTTGAGATAGAGAGGTGACTGCCATTCCAACCTCTGTTCAATGATGATCCGTAATGTGGCGATCTGATCAGTGCATGACTTGTTTCTCCTGAATCCAGCCTGTTCCGGTCGAAGTTTTTCATCCAGGTTGGCTTGTTTGATTCTCTCCAGGAAGACATATATTAAGTAATAATAATCTCCTCCTAATCACTATTAATAAGAATCACTTTCATCTTTCTACATATATATTTTCTTCTTTATTTTATTTTTTTATTTACTCAAAACAGGATGAATCATTTCGTAAAACCCTTGAAACTAGTACATTTATTGAAAGTAATTATCGTTACTTAATGGATTTAATTTTATTATGTGATAATATTGAAACAACTTTTGAACAACTGAATTATCATTTAAACAATCTATTAACAGAACCTCAATGGGTACCAGCGAAATGGTTGTATTAACTAACAACATTAAAAACACTAAACTGGATTGATTGATTGTATTGCTGCAATATATTATGGTATAACACTAATAATTCATTTTGAAATGCATCTTTATTTGCTCAATCAATAATTAATATATTATATTTATATATGTACATAATGACAGCTTTTTCTAATAAGAAATTATTTTCCAAATTGTTATTTAATTAGTTTTATTGTCAAAAAAAATTTGATTTTATACTTTTTTTTAGACTATTCATCAATTAATTGTTCTCCTCTTTATTTGCTCTTCCTTGTCTAATTTTGTGTTTATTATTTTTATTACTAAATGAAATTATACCTCTAATGTAAAGTTTTTGAAAAAAGAGGAGTAATCTCAGGTATCCATTTGCTTAACATTTTTCTTATTTGATTTAATATAAATAATAGTATGAAACTTATCGATTCTTCACATTACACACTGGAGCCAGTTACATATTCATGAAAGACTGCATATTTTGCATTTTAGGGGGATTGGTGGTAGAATGTTCACACCAAGCACCCATGTGATGTGAAGTTCGATTCCCGGATGATACAATCCTAAAGCTGTCCAAATTTACTAACCTCAGGAAAGACGGAAGGTTAGGCGTGAGATGAACCGTATAAAACAATACCATCCTTACTGAAAACTTCAAAGTTTGAAGTCCTGTGTTCCAGTAGGAACACGAAAGAATGAAGAAGAATCGATGATAAGGTGTATATCTTTTGTTGTCACAGTGATCGGAGAGTGACGGGATTATTAGTGTCTAAGTGAGAGCAGATTATTCAATAGCAGTTTTTTTTTTTAATTACAGCTTGATTCCACACGGTATTTTTGGTACAAGTATGGAATTTTGAGCATGTGATATCGGTAGCTCAAATTTTGCAGGCCGACCATTGATATCAGGTGTGCATCGGCAGGGGATCGAACCTCGGACCATGAGCATGGTCGGTGAGAGTCCTAACCAATGTGCCACCGACGAGAAATAATAACCAAGACACCAGAGTATTTGAAGTACAGATACTGCAAAGTCACACAAATTAGTGATTTCTTATGATAATGAGAGAACTTTAGACGAAATTGTTCATTCCAGCCTTTTATTTAAGTCATTCAAAACTTACTAATGGAAGTCATACAGCGAATTATGAACTCATGCATACGACAGTTCGTAGTCAGGATTAGAATTTCTGTAATGGAAGAAACCCGTTTAGATTTATTATTTCCGAACAAGTCTCAGTAAGCCATTTTTGGGTATCTGTGGAAAACTTGTACTTTTTGAATTTCAACGATTCTAGGAAATTAGATCTAAAAATTAGGAGATTCCAGTAAGCAGGCATATTGCTCTCATCACCTTCCTTCGTTATTTTATTCAAATTGACCCAACTGTCAGTAGTATACACTATACAGTTTCTGCATCTCATCGTTACTGCGATTATCACTAACTAATCTGAGGCACTTCTACAAAACTTAAGTGTGATCATTTAGTTAGTACCAATTGAGCAATATGATGAATCGGAGAAATTCATTTTAAAAGAATAGACACGGGACAACGAGTACTTTTTTCGATAAATTCATCATCAGGTTCTACAATTATATATACATTATAATGAATGAATAAGTTAGTCTTATGAACAACATTAATGCTTAAATAACATCGAATCAATAATATTGATAGATTACAGCTCAATAGCATCAACATAACAATAAACTGAATGTCAGAAGAATTAGGAAAGATAATAGTACAAATTCATGAGTTTATAGTTTCTACTGAGGGCCAGGGAAGTAGTAGGGGCTGGACTTGTTTCTTTTGGACACAGAGCACTGGTTATTTGAAGCGAATTGCAATAGCCTCTGCTGTTTAGAGCATGCGGTGCTTCGACGATTTTGGTAGTTTGTTAGGCACCCGGTATATTATAGAGAAGGATTCTTCTACGCTGGCTTTGTGACCGGTCTAATATCGAGCTGTTAATAGTTTTAACTACACCTTTACTTAGCCATAGTGGGATATGTTCTCGAGCACGAAGAATCAAGTTCCTAGAGCAACGGCCAACATAACTCGCTCCACAAGCACAGTTGAATTGATAGATACAATTTGAAGTGGCTAGTCTAGGTACTTCATCTTTCACAAACATGCTGATGAAAGAATAGCATAAAGCTGTATAGCAGAAAACTCACTGATCGACTGGATCCCATCAGAAAGTCATCTGCTTAAACGGATCCATGAAGAAATCGAGAAACTGTGATCATCTTTGATGTGGTGATCCACCTATTCACAACAGTTCGGACGATATTTTTAAAAAATAATGAGTTTTATCGATTGTCCGATTCGCTCAAAACAGTGAAACCCTCAAGTGAAGTTATCGCAGTAAATGATTTCAATACTGTAATAGGAAAACTGAGTCAAACATTGGAAGAATATTACACCTATTGGGATACCTCTCTGGGGCTTCAATCACGAATTTTTAAATTCACGTAGGTACGTATGACTGAATAAGTATAAGAAGTATTAACTAATTAGCCATTAATTCTACATTTTGATGAAATATAAGTGAAAAGGCGTTCAGCGAAAAGCTGCTCTTTTCAGTGATATCATTCTCAAGCTGTACAATCGCATATTTATAATGAATTATCGTAGAGATAAAAGGAATATTTTCAAAGATGTTTCATTAGAATTGAGATTGTGGAAAACACCCATATGGACATTAGAAAGAAGAGAACATGAAGTTCAGCAACACAGATATCTTTTCGGGGATTTCATTTTCAAAAGCTGTACAATCGCATCTTAATACATAATTTTAAATGGAGACAATTACGACGGCGAATAAAACGTGAAAATTATTTTCAACTAGATATGGTTTACAAGAGGCTTAGAAACAAAATGAACACAGGATTAGAACGGATGACAAGTGTGTAAAAATGAGCATGGAGACAAAAATTGAAATAATAATTTTAACTTGAAATGGAAGTTATATGTGAATATAGATTACAAGAGCCTTAGAAACACAAAAATTGCAAAGGATTAAGATATAATTGTAAAGTAGTTATTTTAAACGAATTATAAATGTGAACAGAAAAAGCATGGAAACAAACTTAAAATAACTGTTCTTATAACTGGAAAAAATGGGGTGAATCGAATGAAGACTGAGGGAGTAAGAATCACACACAGCGAACGAAAAAAGATCAAAAAGAAAGAAGCAAAAAAGGAAGCTAAGGGAACATACCGAACTAGGTTCATGGTAGTTGTGTAGGTTGGACTAATTTCTTTTGAACACACACCTCCGGCTTCTCGATGCATATTGCGAGGGCTTTTGCAGTACAGAAAAGTCGGAAACATACTGCTTTTGGTAGGTTTCTGTTGACTTTGTAAATTACTTTGAGAGAATCAGTTGAGATGTTGATCAGATGTTCAATAATGGCACTTGTGATTGAACCGGTGCCTCCTCTTTGCAGCCACGCTGGGTAATATTCTCTAACACGTTTTGAAAGTACTTGCATACAACGACCTATGAACCTAGCTCCGCACGAGCAGGTGAACTGCTAGATGCATATTGAATTGGTCATATGTGAGAGTTTGTCCTTCGCGTTGTTTCGAAGTATTGGACGGCTAGAGAATGTTACCTTTTATTCACCATCGCAATTGTATGGAATCAAACAAGAATTATATCCATGTAAAATTATGTATTTAAATGCGATTGTACAGCTTTTGAAAATGAAATCGCCGAAAAGAATTGAGATTGTCTTAGATAACTGTTACGTTGCACAGGAAGAGTTAATTGAGTAGAAACTGAATTAAAATTAAGTAAGTGAATTGCGTCACACAGTGCAAATTGCGGGACTGAATAGTACTTAACTGACATTGATAGTCAAATTGAGAACAGTAATACTGAGTAGATATATAATAGTGGTGTTAAGACAGATTAAATCGATTGCAGGTTCAATGACTGAACAAACTTCTCCTGTATCCGGATTTCGGGATTTAACATGTGGACTGCCATCACTTCCACGGTTTGAAGAAGTTTGATTCGTATTGCTTCGGCAAGATTTCAACACATTCTGTACATGACTCTGAAGTTGGTTTGCGGGTTCGCTCGGTATCCACAGTCGATCAGGTATTCCAAAATACAGCTGTCATTGGGGGGGGGGGGGTCTTTCTTCTCCTTGATGGTAAGCGTTGGATGATACGTTTGGACAGCGAATGCCGAGTACAGCGCACATGCCTAACTCCACAACAGCAGGTGGATTTATAGATGCACACTTCTGAGGCCACCATATCCTTCGCGTTCATTGGTTTCAAAGAGAAAGTGAGTTGGGGTTCAGTTGGGAAGGTTTGTGCCAATAAACGGGACAGGTGGTTTCTCAATATTTATGCCAATCACTCTCCATTGAAATGTAGATTCAGACACAGAAGTATTTCAGGGGCAGAAAGGGTGTAGAGTTTTAGTGGTGTACACTTCATGGATTTCGTGATGAATTGTTCGGGGCAGTCATTTTGAATGAGAATAATTTGTAGTGTTCAGCTTCTCTTCGATAGTCTCAGGAGTGCAAATGTTGAGAATTCTGCGGTTCGATAAACGGATCAGGTTTTGTTTTGTATATAAAGGTACCCAACTATGGGACTTTGATGAAAACATTACAGTTACGTTTGAGGAGATATTTGTGTGAACACGATAGTGATAGTCATCGGCTGTAGAAATAGCACTGCAAACAACCGACAACTAGCACTTAGAACTTAATGATCAGAAGTGTTATGTGATTAGCAATAATTAGGTTGGGATTTTAATGTGTTAGACAAGTGGCAATCAGTCGAGGACGATATGTAACCCCCTATCTCGACGAGAAACATATGGATTATTACATGAATAATCCACCCTGTAGTAAGTCTCGGATCATACACAATCTGGTTTGGCGATAATGACATTCTGTCCGTAGTCAAAAACCATTACAGATCAATGGATTTCGGTGACCTTACCCAAATTGATTGATGCATGGTCTAATCTAGGCTGGCTACAGTGACCACATAATGAGTGATTTACCAAGGTATAAAGAACGTTATACAAAAGTACATCAGTGTGGGTTTCCACATTTCGGAAAATCCTTCGTTAAAGTTGGGGGAACGAAGTGCGATGAAAGATGTATTGGATACAGAATTTTTTACTTTACTTCGACTATCTCCTACGAGAGGATTAGCCGGCTTCATGAACATCTCGAATCATCGCTGCCCAGGCGCGGCGATCTGATGCAAGGTTTTGCGACAGGGTTATCCAATTCTTGTTCCACAGACGGAGTCCGTAGACGGTTTGTAGCCCCAGGCACTCCATATCAGCCTTGACTGTACCTCGTTTGTAAGAGAGTTCATGAAGTTTCATGGGAATTTGGTACGAGTGATGTCCCCAGAATCGCTCGGCCTTCTGTTTGAGAGTGCAGCTCTAGCCTTTACACAGCCAAGTGTGACCTACAAGGCAGTAGGAGTGGAGTAGGGAGTCCACTATCCATTGGCAGCCAGTGACCGAAGTTCGGTTCATACGCCTTTTTGAATGGGGCCAGACATCCAACAAGCCCTTTGTCCATACGTCCGCCGGTGAGCTTCATACGCCAGTCGTTGGAGGTTTGGAATCAGGGTTTAGCCATCTCCCCTAGACTGTCATCCAATGGACAGTCAACCCGGTGAAGAGCGCCGGGCATCCGCTTTCGCTCTCTCACTTTGGTGAAAAACACCTCCGCCACGTGAAGGCAGTGAGTAGGACTTCCTCAGGAGAGGTTATTTGGATACGGAATGTGATAAGACAGAAATTAGAGGGGATTTTTCCAGAGTCTAAAAGAATGAAAACATCTTGACCATTTTATGTAACAACCAATCATTTATTTTTAGCATTTGGAGACCTCACTCAACTAGGCAGTCTATATCCTCCAATAAAGCTCAAACCAAACTGTCAAAAATTTCATTGGTATATGACGTGTTTTCTTCTGATCATTCTGAACTGCTTTAAATAATTATCTTGTTTCAAATAACAGTGCTCGTCAAGGAAGGTACAACCGAGGTGTATTTCATGTGTACTAGACTTCTCAATCGATGGAATGTTACAACCTTATCGATTGACAACCCCTTCAAATCTAATAGTTTACGGCTAACCTTATTATGACACCACTGAACACGGACACTGTTGGTCAAAAAAACGGTTAGTTTCCTCATAATTGCCACTTTCAAACGTCATGTTTCACAGACGCCAACAAAACCCGTGAAAATTGCTGCATAGTACCCATGTGCTTTTGGTGAACAGCCGGATATTGCATCAGCGCCGGTATATGTTATATGTACCAAGCAAATAAGTTGCCTAACTAACTATCCCCTAAAATTCATTAAATGCTACACAGGCATTGAAAAAAAGGCTTCACCAATCCAATCAGCTCCCAAAAAGGATGTTCATACACCCTTACCTTTTAATGGTGGGTCATCATCAAAATCAGATCACTAAACAAAGACTCAGAGTTGCACTCAACAGAACTTACTATGCAGCTAAATTCAGTTTCATAAAGAAAACAAGCTTCATTTTGTCGTGTCAGCATCCGAACATTAGTGTCACATCCCCGCGTATGTATGCGTGGTCAGCCAGATATACGGAGGATGCATCAATCTCTGTAGGTTAGGGCTACAGAACACATTCCAAAATGGCTGCAAGAAAAAATAAAATCATCTGACTTAATTATTTTCAGGTACAGGTGCCCAACGTCATTTATCACCACCGAAGCACATCATAAAGTTGATTTCAGTATTACCTGTGAACCCATATATATATATATATAACAGTTTTAGGTCATATATTTAAATTTCTCGAAGCCTTAGTCATAAAAGGGCTTAAACCTGTTTCATGTGTCCAACAATTATTTGTCATTACTTTGAACCACCCTCGGTAATCCGGTTTTAAAACCAAGGTTCATTTTATTCAATAATATTTTCGCTCTCCTACCACTTCTTCTTACCACATTTCCCTACGATTTGTCTGTGATCTTCACTCGCACACACACTTTGACCTATACTATCGACAAATTTCTGATTCTTTATGCTCTGTCGCTTTTTATATAAACATATGTACTACGAAAGTACGCGTGTGTGTGGGGGTGTGTGGACAGAATGTCCGAAAAGTCTTTTGTCCAAGTTTATAAATTTATGTACGAATGCACTTGGTAATCACTGATTAGGTCATTTTAATGTGAAGAAGGACTTCAATAGGACTTCAGTATTATCTTAGCCCAGAATACTCTGAACAAAACTCATCAGTTATACGGATACATTGACATTTACAATTCGTATATATATATATATAAAAAGATCAAAGGTATTTTATAGAGGATTTGTTTTTCTTAAAGTTAAATACATGCGCATATATGAGCTCAACAACTACTCCATCTGACGAAGTCACAGTTACTGGGATCCAAAGGATATTCTCGTTCGCGTATATAAAAAAAACACGCTTTCACTATGTAATATACATGATATGATTGATTAACTTATTCTCAAAGAAAGTTTGTAGATTAACAGATCACAGGCGTTGAATAACAACACTTATGAACAATATATTTCATTAAAAAAAAGTGATATATTCACAAACAGGCAAAACCAATATATTGAAATATGTATATTGGTTATTCAAACTAAAATTCGAAGTTGAACGCAAAACAAAAATTACAATACCACTGAAAAAATAACAACAGCAACAACAACAACTAAAATCCACATAGGTGGTCTATCTAAACAGTCATTTCATCATCATCATTTAACTTTTGAAAAATGTCGTATACACTCCACAAAAATAATTTTTATAGGGATTGCTACGAAAAAAAGTAGATCACAATTGATGTGTGTATATGTGATGAAAATTAAAGAAAAGGATTGATATATATAGTGGTATTGATTTTTTTGTTGTTGTTGTTAAAAAATTCTCGAGTTGCAATATGATTTTTTTTCTTCCACAGTAGATTTAAGGGCGTCGCATACGAGACACCTGTAGACAAAAAGATACGAGAGGTTATGCATATCACTATATACATATATATATTCGCAGAGCTGATCAAAAGCGTCTTTAATAAGAAATATTCATGCGCAGGCTAATACACATACAGTCAGAATCGAAATCGCTGCGAATTAGAAAACTTACGATAAGAAATATCATAATGAAAATGTGTCACTTCGTGATTATGGTTCTGTAACTAATGTCAGTACGCGATCAAATTTGTAACCAACCAAATCCCTGAAAACCAATTTGGTTTCCACTAGAGACTATCTCTGTTGCGGGTAAGTTATCTGGAGTTCTAATGAAAAGTTGTAATGAGCTGAGGTTCACCACCAAGTCAGGTAACAGCGTGGTGAGACCTGTCTCCTAGCCAAATTGGTAGACAGTAATCTACGTCAATATTTACGTTCCCAAGATTTGTCGTGAGAAAATCTGAACAAAGATTGATTCAAAACCGACCACAGCAGACTTTGCGTAGGCGGATGCAGTTAACAGATAGAGGATTTGACATTCAAGAAACAGTCACAAATAGATGAAAGATTAACTTTACTTGAGAAACAACCAATCGGAAGACTGTGCTTGTTTGCTTAAATATCCATAGTAATGTACATGAAAATATATAAATATGCGTTGATTTCCTTAATAAATGATCTGTTGCCTGACTCTTGCCTTCTGTCGTTACAACAGTACAGTTACTCATCTATGGCATTGACTGGTGAAGGCGTTGTATATCGCGAATTTGGCAGAAGCTGGAATTTATAGGCCACTGGATAGGATCACAGTAACTGCTGAATGGTCTACAAGCTTACCATGTAGTCAGTCGGGAGTTGTTGGGTTCGAACCCCAGCGTGAGTACTGACGAAGACTCTTGAAGTAGGACGAAACAGACACCCAGTACTCCCTGGTTTTCTAACTGATGTCAGCTCTTGATCGAAATTTTAGCCAACCGAATCACTCCAAATCAACACTTGGTAAATATTTCATAGGTGGATGTGACAGGATGACAAACCATTTAATCAAACAAATTGGGGTGCAGAAAGTCTATATGATATATATCTGCATATAATATGTACAATATACGCAGAAAAGCTGACGCTTTCTTTATACCAAAGCATAAAAGACAGTATCCCAACAGATATGGAGATGAATAGAAGGTCTGGAGAATAAGGCAGATTCTTTATATTCATAGTCAATGTTATTCATAATGCAAGTATTACAACTTAGAGTAGGTGGATAGCTTCAATGCATGACTCTAAGACCAATGTAATGCTCATAATGATATCGGTGTCATTATGAACAATAAATTGTGCTCACAAAACATCACCCACTTATTAACACTGTAAACTCTATGTGTATGTGTGTGTGTATTTATAGCAAATAAACTTTTCTAATATGGAATTATGTTCTGCTACAGTGAAAGACGTCTATTCTCATATAAATGTACGACGACATGACAAAATTCAGAACAACATCAGCTCCCATCGAACATTTAACAAAATCCCATGGTCATAAGTAATAAAAAAAATCTCTCGAATAATATTTTATGATAAGAACTAATTGAATTAACGTGAATTAGCGGTTTTGCTAATCTGGTTATGGACATCCAGTCACACCCTCTCTTTAAGAATGTAACAACAGAAGGCAAGAGTCAGGCAACAGATCATTTATTAAGGAAATCAACGCATATTTATATATTTTCATGTACATTACTATGGATATTTAAGCAAACAAGCACAGTCTTCCGATTGGTTGTTTCTCAAGTAAAGTTAATCTTTCATCTATTTGTGACTGTTTCTTGAATGTCAAATCCTCTATCTGTTAACTGCATCCGCCTACGCAAAGTCTGCTGTGGTCAGTTTTGAATCAATCTTTGTTCACATTTTCTCACGACAAATCTTGGGAACGTAAATATTGACGTAAATTACTGTCTACCGATTTGGCTAGTAGACAGCTTTCATCACAAGGACTTGTAATATTACTAAATTGACAAGATTAGAGTAGGCGGAGTGGGGCTTCAACTCGACATTCCATGAGTTAAATGACGATTTAAACGGACAACATATAACTCAATAACCATGAGGAAGCCTTAGGGGATATATGCAGACAGTAGAAATGATATCTTTACCAATAATTGAACCAAAAATCTAGATAGGCTATGCTGACGACACATTTATCATAATTAAACTAAACAACTTAGAATACACCCAGAAACTAATCAGCAAGATATTTGAAGATATCAAACTCACAAGAGAAGAAGAATCGGATAACGAAATTCATTTCTTAGATGTCTAAATTAAAAGAACGAACACAGTAAGTCAACACATAGATCAAATATTTAACTATAACAACAATAGTCCAACAGCACATAAAAGAAACTGCATGGAAACATTGTTCAAAAGGGTTAAAAAAACAAAACAACAACACTGTAGCACTACAGTCCTAACGAAAATAGAGGAGAAATATTTACTGTCTTCAACAAAAATGGATACTCATACAATTTCATCAACAACAAAAAAATGTCAAAACTCAAGTCAAACTGCCAGGAAGAAACCATCCTCTAAAAACCACAAGAAAATTCATTCTTGGTATTAGATGGTTGGAGGCAATCGGCAGGAAGCCTGATAGACTACCTGACTGGTGGAATTCAGTCTGCAGCGAGGATAAAACTAGACACATTACACTAGTTACTGACTAGTGTGCAATCAAAAATACCCATTGGAACATTAGATTGAGAAGAAGAAGTTCAGCAAAGATATCTTTGCTGAACTTCTTCTCAATCAAAAATATCCAATACAGTCCTACAGGAGGTCAATCGCGAGTCTGAATAGCTCAGTGGTAACGTCTCCGACTGCAGCACCGGGTGACGCGGGTTCGAATCTCAGAAGGGACATGAGTTCCTTCAAGATTGCAGATACGCCTTGCTGATGAGTGCCAACTAGCACAAAACCTAGGTCGTGCAAGGCTTCCTGCCGATTTGCCTCCAACCATCTAATATCAACAATTCACAGTGCACCGTAACGGCGAGCCATCTAGCATGGTGGCCACATTGCAAGCGTGACTGATAGAATTCAGTCTGCACCGAAGATAGGACTAGACACATTACACTAGTTACTGACTAGTGTGCAATCAAAAATTCATTCTATTGCATATTTCTGAAATAACAGCCAGAATACTACAACCATTAGAAATAGATACAGCACACAACCACCAATAAGACAATAACTTTACTCAATACTATGCAGACTAAAAGACCCCACTAAAGACAAGGTGATACCATCTACAAAATAAATTATATGAACTGTGATAAACACTATATTGGTCAAAATGAGCGTCCTCTTCGACTCAGAAACCTAGAATATAAATTAACTGTGAAAAACACGTGTATTCTTTCATACTGGTGCATATAGAAAGTACTGATACAAATTTAAAAGAAAAGGTTTTAACGAGATACAACTGTATAATTCAGATAAGTTCATTTCATATTGCAGCTTGCACTGAAGGTGTTGTCTAGAAGGATAACGAAAGCTTTGCAATTAAATCAAGCAGCTCAGTGAACAGAACCAAATCAGAATCAACCACACGTAATAGTGTTATCAGATTTCATTTTTTATCAAAAAGCTACCAAATGCACTACAAAAGACAATAGAGGCGAAAAATAAGAATGCACATCAGTATCAAATAAAACACTGGACTTCAAGGGGGACATAGCGACAGATATCCTAGGGAGAAGAATCTCTAGTTTCCTAGGGAAGACGTTTCCTGCAGTAACCCTGAGTGATATTCTCTAGCTGCTACATTGCTTCTAAGCAATTTAAAGGACAAACTTCTGAATATGACTACTTTGATTTGCATATGTCAGTTCACCCAATCATGCGAAGCTAGTCACATAGATCGCTTTAAGCATGTCCTTCCAAAATGTGTTAGAGAACATTATCTAACATGGCTGCAGAGAGGAGGAACTGATTCAATCACAAGCGTCATCATTGAGTATCTCGTCAATGCTTGTCACAACATTTCAAATGACTCATCAATCAGAGTCATTTACAAAGTACACAGTGTGTTTCCGACTTCTTTGTACTGCAGAAGTCCTCGTCATATGCATTGAGATGAGGCGAAGTTATGTGTTCAGAAGAAACTAGTCCAACCTCAACATTTACCACGAATCTAGTTCAGTTTGACAACTTAGTTTCATTTGTTTTTATTTCAGTAATAAACAGACTATTATTTCAATTTGTTTTTATGCTTATCTCGTTCCCACTTGTATTCGTTGAAACCCATATTCTGATCCTGTGTAATTTTGTTTCAAAGTCACTTGTAATCTATATCCACACCTTCAAACTTTGAAATCAAGTTGAAAATGATTATCACCTTTACTCTCTTTTATCGTTATTATGTGAAATTAAATAATCTGATGCTCGCTAGTGACTTGTTACAGGATAGAGTTTCCTGGAGTTCTAGTGAGAAGTCGTGACCGGTGAGGTCTATCCAGTCACGTAAGTGGATGGATGTCCCAATGACGACATTGGTTGGGATCGCGCTAAATCACAAATTGGTAGAAGTTAGAATTCATGAGCTGGCCATTGAATCGGGTCCCACTGGCTGAATGGTATATGAGCCAGCTTGCTTTGTAACCGAAAGGTCCTGAGTTCAAACCCCAGTGGGTGCGTACTGCTGATGATTCCCAAACTAGGATGAAACAGCAGCTATCCAGTACTCCCTGGTTTTCAATGGTTCTCTAACTGATATCAATCTGTGATCAATTCGTATAAATAATAATTGTATCTATGTAAACTTATGTGTATATGAATAAATGTGATTCTACAGCTTTTGAGGAGTAAATCACCGAAAAGATATCTTATCTGAACTTCATGTTTTTCTTTCTTCAATGTCTTCATGGACATTTTCCACGATTTCGAAAAATTAGAACGAGGGTAAAAACAAATAGATAAGAAAAATAATTCCCTATTCACAATAATAAGATCACTAACCTGAGGAGGAATAAAACGCCTGTTTTGGTTATTATTATTGTGGTTATATTGAGGTGCAACTGATCTTTGAGATTGCAAATCATTTCGTATAGGTGGACGAAAAACACCTGATTTATTTCTATCATTGTATTGTTGTTCTGGTGGACGGTAAAATCTATTAAATATTTCAAAAACCAAAAGAAATAAAATAAGATGAAACATTTTTTGTTTCTATGAAGGCATATATCGATTTCTTTCGATTAATTTCTTCACAGTAACTCATTATTTGAACAAATACTAACTTGTCAACAGATTTAAAAATACATCCATAGAATACCACATACTATTGATATAAGTATCTAACTTGGGCACTGTGGTAGAGTATAACTCCATTATAGATAAGATTTCATTTTGATAAGCCACACAGTGTTATACAGTTATATTAACTGATGATGTTTAGAGCACAAATTATTGCTGCTCATAATCATATCAAGCTATTCACACAATTTTTCCTTCATTTATATACATGTGTGGAAATTGACTAGATATTTGAATAAAAATCAATATGTGATAATGTACATTCAGAAATAATAATATGAGTGTTATTGATCAATTGCAATCAGATGGGAAATAAGACGAATGTTTTTATAGTCATAATAAGTAACTTATCAGAATGTTATGATGTGCTTGAATTGAAATAGAAGCAATTTATGTAGGTGGAGAGAGAGTGATTGATTACTGAATCCTGCCTGGTTCATCGAGTCTACACCCAACACATGCAACAGAAATGACTCAATGCAAATACCAGAAATATGGAAGATATATTACCGCCAGTCAAATCAGAAGAGGATAATAAATAATCTCAAAATTCTATTTCAGTTCAAGCACATCACAATATTCTAACAAATTACTTATTATAACTATAAAAACACTCGTCTTATTTCCCATCTGATTGTAATTGATCAACAACACTCATATTATTATTTCTGAATGTACATTATCACATATTGATTTTTATTCAAATATCTAGTCAATTTCCACACATGTATATAAATGAAGGAAAAATTGTGTGAATAGCTTGATATGATTATGAGCAGCAATAATTTGTGCTCAAAACGTCGTTATCAGTTAATATTACTGTGTAACACTGTGTGGCTTATCAAAATAAAATCTTATCTATAATGGAGTGTTGAGTGAAACCATAGACTTTATCGCAAATAACCATGTTTTTGCTGTCATTGGGGCGTTTTGTGACTGTGCATAGTTCAAGAAAGTTTTGATAAGCTATAGAGTACAATGTAAAGACAGGTTTCCTGAGTTTAAGACCAGAACAAGTTGGTTTTATTTTCAAAAGAATAGACAGGGAACAAAGAGTACTCTTTTCGATAAATTCATCATCAGGTTCTACAATTATATATGTATTATGATGAATGAATGAATTAGTCTTATGAACGACATTAATGTTTAAATAACATCGAATCAATAATAGTGATAGATTACAGCTGAACAGCATCAACATAAAATAAGGTGAATGTCAGAAGAATTAGGAAAGATAATAGTACAAATTCATGAGTTTATAGTTTCTACTGAGGGCCAGGGAAGTAGTAGGGGCTGGACTTGTTTCTTTTGGACACAGAGCACTGGTTGTTTGAGGCTAATTGCAATAGCCTCCGCTGTTTAGAGCATGCGGTGCTTCGACGATTTGGGTAGTTTGTTAGGCACCCGGTATATTATGGAGAAGGATTCTTCTACGCTGGCTTTGTGACCGGTCTAATATCGAGCTGTTAATAGTTTTAACTACACCTTTACTTAGCCATAGTGGGATATGTTCTCGAGCACGAAGAATCAAGTTCCTAGAGCAACAGCCAATATAACTTGCTCCACAAGCGCAGTTAAATTGATAAATACAATTTGAAGTGGCTAGTCTAGGTACTTCATCTTTCAGTCGAGGTAGCCCCATCGGTCGTGTAGAGAATAATACGTGTAGTTCGCTAGCATTAAAAGTTCTTTGAACTGATTTTCTTAATTTCTTCGTAATTAACTCGCTTGGTATATCGCCCATGAATTGTAGTCGTATATAAAGTGGCTTCTTGTTTACAGATAGTGGGTAGTCCTTTTCGGCTTTTGTTTTATTTGTTACAGTTAGTTGTTTGTGATCTAAGACGCTAGTATCTCAATAGAAATAAAGTTAATAGATTTATTTTAAAAATATTATTATTCATCAAAAACATACCGTTGATTATTATTTCCATGATTGATTACAGGCGGGTAATTCGGTGTATTAACCGGTGGCATCATTGGAAATCGGTTTAACTGTGGAGGAGTAACAAAACCCTGTGGATAAGATACACCAGGCGGATAAGCAGGGTATTGATTATAAAATGGATCATACATATACGGGTTATATGCGTATGGAGGTGGTATCATATTAGGTGGATGGTTATTCACTGGAGGCGGCGGTTGACATACAGGTTGCCAGTTAGACTGCATTAAGTTAGGAGGAATGGGAGGAGGTGGCGGCGGCGGTGGCGGTGGTGGTGGACGTACAGGATATCTGTTAGGTTCACTGAAGTTAGGCCTTTCAAAATAAGGCCTAGGCAATTGTTTACGCATAGACTGATTTGAATTTTTTTGACCAGAATTACTGTTAGTGCCAGGCTTGAAACGATTTTCTGCACGATGATGATTATAATTTTTTGAGCTACGTTCACCAGATGTACTTTGAGGTGGTAAATTGATGCGTACATTTTTCTCATTTTTCCCTTGTGAATTTTTATCCTTTACTACAACAGGTGGAGTTTGTGTAGTTGATCTTAAATCTGTCATAGATTTACTATGACTAGAAGATAATTTTGACCAATTCGATGGAGGTAGAGGTACATCCGGTGGACTTGGCATTTCTAAGAAGGGGGAATTCTTTTCTGAATTTGATTGAGAATTCGATGATTTATTCTTTTCATGTTTTCGTTTAGATTTGGAAGGACTAGAATCGGTACTCTGGTGACATGATTTATCCGATGAGTCAGTCAAAGTGGAATGAAGACCAGACAACAAGATGAGATTTAATTCTAATAGAATGGAAAGAAAAAAAAAACAAGAATAGTGAGAGCATTTAAATAATAATAATGATGTTCAAAACAATATTGTATGAACTCAAAACCACTAGATGGATATTTCGTTATAAGCTTGCGTTCCGAGTGGAACTATAAGGGTTTCCAGCTTTTGTAGTTTTGGTAGAGAGATAAGGGGTTGACTAGTGTTACACAGAACTTTCCCTCTTTACCGGGTTTACTGTTAAGTTAGACTTGCTACCAGGGAATAATCTCGTTGACTTAGAATATGAAGACGATATAGTCCTTCTAGGCGAGGACGCAGACAAAATACAGAGTCTTCTAAACACCTTGCGCTGCAATCTACGAATCTTTGGCATGCAATTCGCTCTCGCCAAATGGAAGATGATGTTACAGGATTGGACTACAGCGACTCCTAGATTAGAAATAGGAAGTGAAGTGGTAGAGCACGTTGACCGCTTCATTTACTTGGGAAGTACCATCAGCCCAACGGGTTGATCTCTGACGAAATCACAGCGCGAATACAGAGGGTTAGGTTCGCATATGCCAGTTTACGCCGTCTCTGGCTTAGTAGACGTGATATCCGACTATCGACCAAAGGGCGTGTGTACTGCTCAACAGTCAGCTCCGTCCTCCTTTATGGCCGTGAGACCTGGCCATTGAAATTGGAAGATATGAAAAGATTAGCTGTCTTTGATCATAGGTGCCTGCGTTCTATCTCCCGTGTGAAGTGGTATAATAAGGTGAGCAATATTGAGGTTAGACATAGGTCGAGTTTGCTTGGTAAGGAGGGGAAATCAATCGACGAGGCTATGAAGCTACATCAACTGAGATGGTTAGGACATGTGTTACGTATGCCTAGTCTCACCTTCCTCGACGGACGATGTTAGCTGACAGTGTCAGGTTGGAAAAGAGCCAATGGTGGTCAAACCAAAACATGGCTTCATCAGTCAATGAAATCTACAACAGTTAGTCTAAGCCACGTAGGAAGGTGTAGACTTCCTGACTGGTTGGGGTCCTCAGGACGGTAAAAACCAGTGGTTGGAAACAATTGGTGACATGGCTCAAAATCGTTCTCAATGGCCGGTGCAGATGCATCCACTCCTTGTGACTTATGATTTCCAATGAAACTGTTTTGTTCTTCGCCAATACTATACCTTTATCTCACACCTCTGTTTACTGTCTCTAATATGCATTTCTCCTACTTTCTTCTCTTCCTTTGTGTGCTACGTGGATGGAGTGTGGTGACTTGAACTGGTGCACATCGGTGCAAAGTTCTATGTCGAAAACAGACAGACAGACAGATTGTCAAGTTAGTAAACTAGGCGAAGTTTAGAAGTGCGTCGGTCGAGAATTGAATACGGACCACTTATGTGGATTCCTACTGTTGAAGCAGAGTGATGCAAAAAGGAAAATCTTCTGCATGTATATATACATATTAAATCCTGAAATTGAATTATTCACATAGCAAAAATATCCTTGTATTTAAGTGCAGATCATTGTCTCGTAGACACCAGCTTTCGCTTTTTGTGATACTCAACGGCCCATATATGCATATATATATATATATATATATATATACTAACATGAAATCAGTGTGTAAAGTCAATGGTGGTGATGAACAGCAGTTCTCAGTAAACGATTCTAGTATGGAAAATGTTGACCTTACACTAATGGCAGATAAAAGCAAACGAACATGAAACTTAACAAAATAGGATGAAAAGGACTCATTTATCAGTGGTTTTATGTTTTTTACATGATACAGTTATGCTATTCATGTGTTGTTTTTTTATTTTAGTATGAGATGAATTGTTAGTTGAAACATGATTTGAATTCTCCGGTCATCTGATTTTTACCTGGACTGAAACACTTAGTCTACGTTCGGGTACAACATATATTGCTTCTCAGTGTAACGATAACGTCGCCTAGATTACTAGTTCGCTAGTTTGCTAGCCGGTCCCAAGCCCGGATAAAGAGGGAGGGTTGGGGCGCGGCGCTAGCAACTCCACCCCCAAAACTTAACCAAATTGCTACAGAAATTTCAACGCACAAATATATTAAAAATACTAACAATATAAACAATAACCTTTTTTTTCTCTGGAATGGGGAAGGTGAAATGACACAGGCTGGTAAAAGCCTTCGGGAAGCCAGTTAGCCGATGTGCCTTCTTTCGATGAAAGCAAAAATAAGGATGGGGAAGTGGAATGTTCGTACAATGTACGAAGCTGGAAAGGCTGCTCAGGTAGCCGCAGAAATGAGGAGATATAAAATAGAAGTGTTGGGAATCTGCGAGAGCAGATAGAACGGATGTGGAAGGTGCCAACTATCAACTGGAGAGACAGTAATCTATTCCGGTCACCCAGAGGACAACCACGAGCACACCGAGGGAGTGGCCATCATGATGTCACCAACAGCAGCCAAAGCTCTCATGCAGTGGGAACCAATCTCCTCCAGGATAATGACAGCTAGGTTCAACTCAAAAGGAAGGAAGGTTACAATTATTCAATGCTATGCGCCTACGAACGTGTCAGAACAAGAGAAGAAGGAGGATTTCTACAGACAACTACAAACAGTAGTGGACAACGTCCATTACAATGTCCAAGTATCCAACAAATATGCAGGAGAAAGTGGAGATAGACTGGACACTCGCTGAGGAGGCCACTGGGTGACATCGCGCCTCAGGCCATAGCTCGAGTGGAACACGAAAGGGAAGCGGCGAGTTGGACTTCCAAGAGTGACATGGAGGATTAACATGGACGCAGGTGAAAAGTACAGCAGAAGACAGAAGCAAGTGGAGACGTGTAGTTGAAGCCCTATGTTCCACTAGGAACCCAAGGGAACAATAATAATAATAGTGGTGTAACGATAGAAAGTAAAAGACTTGGTAACAAACCTTGTTTTTATTAAATGAGAAAGCTCAACCAAACCAACCAGCTCAGAGAACACTATTATTTGCAAATAGTTATACATTCTAAGCCACGCTGAAATTTCAGTTAGTTCAGAGGAGAATACGATGTTCTGATTGGTTGGTAATCGGCATCAGTGATGGACAAGTTGTTCAATAAGGTTATTTCATGTCCACAAGGTGAATTAAGTTCAGATTTGAGGACTAAACACTTCTAACTCTGCTGCAGCCATTGCCTTAAAATGTTGATTTCAATTTTGATCATTTTATATGAGTAGATTGAAAATCCCCATTGAGTCATATGAAAAAGAGAAGACATTCAGCGAAGAGACTCTTTTCGGCGAATTCATTCACATAGCTGTACAATCGCATTTATATATAAATATTTGTGTGTGTGTGTGTGTGTACATGAGGTTTGTCAAGTTTAGATAATTGATTAGTTAATACAAGAATGATGTAGTATAGAGACAAAGTTAATCAGACAGCAACTAAAGTAAGACTGAGTTAAAAAAAAAACAACTAGATGACGTAATATAATTGGCTAAAATGTTACAACTTAGGTCAGGATAGCAACAGAGGTAATTACAGGTAGAGATTAAGTAGAAGTGAAATTGAGTGAATAAGTTGGATGACGTAACATGAATGACTAGAAACTGAGTGTTGTTCAGGTCAGTAACAGTGGTAGTGGGGTGTAGAGATTGAATCGGGTGGGGGTAGAGAACAAGAAAGTTGAAATTGTAAAATGTTACAATTGAGAAAGCAAAATAATACTAATGAAGAGACAGAAGAAAAGATTAGGTAGAATTTACATGTCGGCTAATAAGATAGATTACGTCCATTGCAAGTGTAGTGATTGAACGAACTTCTTCTGTATGCAGAGTTCAGGACTTAGCAAGTGGATCGCCATTGCTTCTGCAGTTTGAAGAAGTCTGATTCGTACACCTTTAGGGAGACTACTTCTTACTCTGTAGACGACTTTGAAGTTTGTTTGCGGTGTAGCTTGGTGTCCGATCGAATGGTGTCTGATCGAATCCGGACACCAAGCTACACCGCAAACAAACTTCAAAGTCGTCTACAGAGTAAGAAGTAGTCTCCCTAAAGGTGTACGAATCAGACTTCTTCAAACTGCAGAAGCAATGGCGATCCACTTGCTAAGTCCTGAACTCTGCATACAGAAGAAGTTCGTTCAATCACTACACTTGCAATGGACGTAATCTATCTTATTAGCCGACATGTAAATTCTACCTAATCTTTTCTTCTGTCTCTTCATTAGTATTATTTTGCTTTCTCAATTGTAACATTTTACAATTTCAACTTTCTTGTTCTCTACCCCCACCCGATTCAATCTCTACACCCCACTACCACTGTTACTGACCTGAACAACACTCAGTTTCTAGTCATTCATGTTACGTCATCCAACTTATTCACTCAATTTCACTTCTACTTAATCTCTACCTGTAATTACCTCTGTTGCTATCCTGACCTAAGTTGTAACATTTTAGCCAATTATATTACGTCATCTAGTTGTTTTTTTTTTAACTCAGTCTTACTTTAGTTGCTGTCTGATTAACTTTGTCTCTATACTACATCATTCTTGTATTAACTAATCAATTATCTAAACTTGACAAACCTCATGTACACACACACACACACAAATATTTATATATAAATGCGATTGTACAGCTATGTGAATGAATTCGCCGAAAAGAGTCTCTTCGCTGAATGTCTTCTCTTTTTCATTTTATATGAATCTGAATCACTCCACATTAGTACGAAGGCCAATTTATGAAACTATGTGAAATAACACTTTTGTTTACACAGTAGTAATGGATACGGAAATGCATATGAAATCCTTCAAAGCCATGTCCTAAACATAGTTATGATCTAAGATACTCTGCTAGAATTGTTAATTGAATGAATGAATTACAGAGAAGAGAATATGCGTAAAGTGCGTAGGAGAGAAAGAGAGAGATGTAGCATGATGGACAAATAAAGAAATGTTGATTCATAAAACGCGTACACAGATAAAAAAACATTGTCTGAATTATATTTTATGTCTGATTAGTAGCCTGCTTAAACCTCTGAGCTACTC